TATACCCAAAGGTATAGGTGTTCCCAAATCCACGAAGGAGGGTAGACTGTCCGGGGTTTTTATAGGGATTTTGTGTCCTGAGGCCAAATTCCAGGCAGGCACCATTCACCAAGGGTCCTTGATTGTTGGATGAATTGATTTCCTGGCGTTGAAGAATAGAGACAAATAGATGTCTGGGCAGAGTCTCCTCATATGTAAAGAAGTTCTGAGTGTTCCTTGATTTCATTTTGGTTCAGGCCATCTGGATGGGATGGTTGGATCCGGGTTGGAGCTGATGGATATCTCGGCTGGACTTTTTCCCTTTGTCTGCCTGATTGCTTCCCCAACAGTGGCCTGCAAGGCGGGGTGTTCAGGTCCGGCGATGAGTATCTCGTCTGAGCTCGACTCTTTGTCAGCCTGATAGCCCGTGTCCTGCTCATTCTTTTCCGTTGATGGGCGCCGGCTAGGATCGTTATCTCTCGAATGGGAATTCGCGACTAGATCTGGGAAGGACTTGTTGGCCACACTGTACTTTATATTTTATATTATTATAGCTACAAATATATTTATTTAGATCTCTACGAATTTTTATAAGTTCATTTATCACACTAGTCATTAGAAAATTAAAATTAGGTTTCAGCCACTTTTCCCCCCTGCCCTTTGGTACCCAAGCAAACTTAAAGAGCTTTCATTCAATTGTCTCTTCACTTTACATGGCTATTTTTAGCGTGGAATAATTCAGTATGCTGGTCTACCAATGGCAAACAGTTGTTGTCATAAGTGTGGGAACAAATGGCTGTGGCCAGCAACACCAGAATTGCCTTCTGCTGGTGCTGTTGCAGAAAAAGGTGTATGGAATTGTACCCAGGTTTCTGCTCCTGCTAGCTAACATGCTGATCAAACAAAGAATTTTACTTAAAATCTTCATTTGTAAGAATGAAATTAAGTATTTTAACATTTGCTTGAAGTGGAATTCATGCACAGGCTTGTTAACCTTTCCCTAAAATGGTTATTTTTTGCCTTATGCCAGAGAGGGAAGAATTAGGTGTTATTTTAACATGACTTTGAGTACTTTACTCGTGGTCTTATTCTTTTAGTTGCTTGTGTAATAAATTAATCTTTAATGCTTTAATAGTAACATCATCTAATGTAAGATGAAAGAGCTGCTGGATGACCTTTCTTTCCAACAGGGAAATTTCCATATGTTCCATACAGAAAAGAAGTGAAGACAATTGGAGAAGGAATACTTAATGTTCATATGTGATTAACTATTCTCCTGTGTAGCATTAGATTTTGCATTGGTATTATGTCAGTAAAGCTATACTAGTAAGAGAACTTGCTATCCTGTAGTCCAGGCTGGACCTCTTTGGTTTGTAGTTTCAAGTTTCTGTCAACTGGAGCTCCTTTTGTAGTGCTGCCAGTTTCTCAGTTATTTGAATTAATGTTACAGAGTGTATTTTTAACATGTTTCTCCTTAACTTTATTCAGATTTGTGGAGGATAAAATATAAAATAGCAGAAAACTATCTTCAACCATACTCTTTAAAGTGCAGGTGTTACTGTCATGCTACCTTGAGCTGCTATGTTTGAAGTTAACATTTCTGATGTGTGTTTCTTTTAAACACTTGCCCTCACCCAAGTCTTGATTTGCTCAGATGAAAGGAGTGAAGTGCAGCATTTGTAATTAAGCTGCTAGCTTGTGTAACTTTGTCATCTGCGAGCAATGTACAGTTAAGCATGGGTAAAAGTAATACCTAAATCAGATGTAAAGCAGCTGCATGTGTATGTTCACTGTATTTTGTTGTGCAGCAAGGAAGCATGGGCTTAAACATCTTAACCCAAGCTGAGCAGCAAAGTTAAATCTCTGCCTGGTTTCCAAAGATACTGTTGTATTTCAGAGCCAAGGTGCAATAACTGAGAAACTGAGAAGTTTCAGTATGCATGATTTGACTACTATACAAGGAGATGAGTCTGTTGGACAGAGACCTTATCAGACATTGCCAGAAGCTAAAAAGAAAACCAGAGCCTCTGCAAGTGAATCTTCAGGTATGTATCTTTTCTTTTCCCTGCCTAAAAGAACAATTCACCCAAAGCAAAAGTGGAAGAGCAGAAATACATTTACCCTGTTTCTAAATGGAAGAGGCCTCAAAGAACTCCAGTAGACTTAAACAGAGTACACTCAAAGTAAATTATGGCAGTTAAATTTTTCCTGAATTACTTTCTTCTCTCATCCACTCCCAGCGTAATCATACTGTATTCGTTACTCCTGTCATTGCCAATTGGCAACAAGAACTTATTACCAAAGTAAAATTTAATTGGAAGTCAAATGTTATATGATCAAGTAGTGTTTCTGTGACAAATGTAAAACAAGTTAAACATGAAAACATATGGAAGCTCAGTAAATAAAAGAGAAAATTAATAGAAGTTACTTCACCAGGTGTCCTGGGGTGACTTTATGATACTAGTATTCCCAATCTCCTGCTTTATATATATCTGTTAAGTTCTGCACCTTTAATACTAGCTTTGAGAGCTAGGGAAGCTAAAACTGCTGGAGGCTGATGGGAGTTTTTTCTCCGACCAATAACTAGCCATTTCTGAGAACTGACAGTGGTTTTGACCATTGAAAAGTGAGATCAACCTGTGAACACCTACTTTAAGACCTAAACCCGAGAATTTCTTGTTCTCTTTGGTTTCCGGCTTTTGAAGAGGTAACAGGCTCCGGCTCGGCCTCCTCCTCCCCCATACCAGGCCAGACAAGGCCGCGGAGGGGAGTGGTGGGGAGGCGAGCAGGCCCAGGCCGGGTCAGGCCAGTTCCCCCAGCTCGGCTGCAGTTTCTGCCGCTGCTGAGTTTTACCAGAGACTGCCGAGTAAGGAGAGGCCATCGCAGACAGCTCCAGCCACCGCTCTGGCAGAGATAACAGAACCACCTACCAGGCCTGGGCAAGATTTTAACCCTTTCATTACCCAGATGAAACTTGCAGATTAATCCTTTTTTCCAGAGAGAGAAAGAGAGAGTAATCAACATGTAAAAGAGATCCTATAAACTATCAAAGATAGTGAAGAAAGGAATTAAGCCTCAGAGGAGGTGGAGAAAGAAGAAGATGCTTTAATTAGCTGAAATATTTTTCTGTTAAAGCTATGGAGATGGACAGTAGTGTTCTGAAAAAAACTCCTTTAATTCATGACAGTATATTGGGAGGAATGGAGTGTTTCAAAGTGTGGATTTTGAGCAAATGGTGAAGTAGTTGTGGTACTGTGAGATGCTGGAACAGAGGAGGAGAAGTAATAGTTGAAGATTTGGGGCCTTTAAGAGGCAAAGAGCACACTTCTATTTCCAGAGAAGCTCACAGAGACAGATGAAGAGAACTTTTGCCTTTGAATAACTCATCCTTAAAAATGACATCCCTAGACTCATTTGACCCATAACACACCTCAGAGTGATGTGAAACGGGAGGAGAGAACTGATGGCAGAATTTCCGGGCAGCTGGCATCAGAGAAATAGAAATCTATAAAATAAATAGTTTTCTTGTGAGAAACTCCATAGATAGCAGAAGAAGACTTCTGTTTCTCTACAAAGACTGATGAAAAGACTGTAGCAAGAATTGGGACTGGTTTAAACCACCAAAGTTTTTTTTGTCTCTATGTTGTCATGTGAACAAGGGAATGGTTGGGTAGTGAGGCAGAAAAGGGTTGTTCTGGAGGTTTTATTCTGGTTTCTTATTCTTGTAGTTTTTGTTAATAAACTTACTTTGTTCCTTTTAAGTTTTAAGCCTGTTTTGCTCTTGTTCTAATCCACATCTCACAGCAAGAAATAAGTACGTTTTCTAGTGATTTTTTAGTTACTGCTTTAAAACCACAACACCAGGTTTGTAGTAATAGATCAAAATGTAAAATTGTATATGGTGATACAAATAATAAAGGCATCAAGTTGTCATAATAGACTGATGTCTATTAACACTCAGAAGATGGTGTGTGGTGACCAATACATGGTTTTATTGAAAGATAGTATTATTTCATTATTGTGTTACATATACTGTTATTGTCATCATCACTTTGCCCTTGAGCTTGTGATGCTTGATGGAAGGTTTTGCTGAAGGTCTGGTAACTACATAATTTTTAAATAGCAAGACTGTGATGTATAGGAACTGCTGTTTCCCACAAAAGAAGTGGGTCTGGGCTATTTCTTTTCACCTAAGACTGTCATTCCTTCTCATCCCTCCATTTTGGGGAGGGATAGCATTTGTGGGGTCCAAGGAATTTCATGTATAGTGTGCTAGCCTATTCTAAGGAATAGGTGACCAGCTGAGGGGACCTAATCTGAATTGGAGTTTCCAGAAGGTATCCTGTGCAGGGCAGTGTGAACTGGAGCTTCTGGCTGGAGAGAAAGCCAAGAATTCACGAAGAGCTGCACTAGAGATGATGTCACTGCAGCTGTTGTGCAGGATCTGTTCCTCAGTAAGAGAGCATTACTTACCTATCTGAAATAGCTTAAAAATGCTCTAATTTTTTAAAAAAAATTCTTCAGTTTATACTATATAATCATTGATTGTGAGATTCAATCTCAAATGTCAAAAAGCTTTCTTACAGCTAGTTGAACTTAATTGGTTCTGGTCCTGGTCTCATCTAGCATACACCCCTCATGTTTTCTTTGAATTTTCTTCAGCATTAGGAACTTAAAAAAGATCGAAAGTACACATAGATTTACAATATTCTGTTGTGCTGAGCTGGATCTTATTTTTCGTCTGGGCCAGGAGTTCTGTGCAAATTGATTTAAAAGGCCTAGTTGTAGGATGTGGATCGTAGGATGATGCTGAGCTGGCAGTGCTCTTGCTGTGAAAAAGGCAGATGGGATGCCGATGCATCAGGTATTACAAATGCAGATAAAAAAGTATTGGTGTCACTGCAAACACTGCTACTCTGAAACAGAGAAAGAGATGTGATTCAAATCTTCTGTATTGAAAAAGATTAATTGAAACGGTACTGGAAGCAGAGACATGTTGCCTCTAAAATGGCAGAAGAGAATGACCGAATGTTTGTCTCAAGTAGCTGTGGAATGGATGATGTGATTCTAATTTCTAGGGAAAAAAATTGATGAAAAAAATTAGATAAGCCTAAATAAAATATTGGCTTAAGATGAAATGTACACAGGTCATTGATAAAATTTGGTTTAGAGTCTAAAAGGTGTTTCTGAGTGTTACAGCCAGTGGATTCTGGGATAAAAGGAGTATTTGGTGGAGGAAGGAATCAGACTGGATTTGGTAGCTTTGCGATAGGTCTGTGGTAGAGATTTGGGGCTGTGGGACCCCAAGGAGCTTTTGGAGTGTATTTTTAAGCAGTTAGTGCCCTCTAGTGAGAGTCTTAGGTAATAATCTTGGTCCTGGTTTTGTAGTATGTTAACAACTCTTAACAGTACTTTGGTGTGTTACCGAAATGAAAGGAGCTTTGGTATTAAAAATGCAGGAGGATGAGTGTATGAAGAAAGATCCTATGAATGCGAGTCATCAAATGGTTTGTACTGGGAGGGATCTTTAAAGGTTTATTATAAGTGTAACCTCCTTCTCATGTGGATTGTGTCCTAAAATCTTAAGTACTTCTTTAGACGATCACTAGTTTTTGCAGTTCAGTGTAAAGCAGAAGATGTCAGCAAACTTGTGATTTCAGTCTTGACAACTGAAGAAGCACTGCATTACATACCTGTGGAACCAAGTGGCAGGATTAGAAGTACCAAACTCGTGGCAAAGTAGATGTTTCTGTTTTGAAATAAGCACATCATCTAAAAGCATAAATCATGTGTGTTAAAGATGAAAATCACTGCTTTCTTAGAAGTCAAAAAGTTACAGCTACTATTTTTTAAATATTTTTTTTCAAAGGTTACAAAACCTCCCTGGAAAAAAATCCTGGAGATGATAAAACAGATGAAGAGATGGAGGGGACACATTCAGAGGATGAAATGTTTGCTCAGAGAGGCCTTCGCAGAACTCAGAGTATGAAATCTGTGAAAACTATTAAAGGCCGTAAAGAGGCAAGTATAATCCTGGTTAATTGAGTTTGTTCTTTCAGTGTATATTGGCATTATTCATAGTGCAGAAATTTATTTTTATTTTTAATGTTGGAGAAGTTGTCAACAATAACTGGGTTCCAGAGTGCTAAATGGGGAAGAAAGCATGTGACAACAATATCTAAGTTTGGAGCTTTTGTAGTTTGGAGTGTTTAGGGGAAATATATGTATGAAATTAATGAAGCAAGGAGCAAGAGAGAGGAGACGAAGCAGACTCTTGTGTTTGAAATGCTAATTTTGGCACCACCGAGCCTAATTTCAGGAAGTGTTCACCTTGAAAGGGGTATGGATAACAATAATATTATCTGTGTGTTGTGCACACTTAAACATCTACTGTTTAATAGATAAAGAATATTCAGAATTTTTTAGTTGCCATAGACAAACGGTCTGACTCTTTGTGATCTACAAAGAGAAGATCCTAGTTAGCATCCTAGTGCATGCATCACAAAATTTAAAGATACTCCAGTATAAATCTCTGTGAAGTCTCATAAGAAAGTTTTTGGGTCATTCCAGGAAAACAATTGATACTTACTCTTCTTGCCTAATTCTGTTGAAACTTTATCTTATTCAGTCATAGGTAGATTCTCTTAGTGAAACTGGGTGTCCAAAGCACATTGGAAGACATTTGCTAAATAGGATTAGTGGGGAGGTGAATCATATTTCAGTTTCATGTGACTCAGTACTTCATTATAATTTTGTTTTTCCCCTCAGATACGATATGGATCACTAAAATACAGAGTGAAGAAGAGACCTGTTGTATACTTTTAAGTGTACTGCACAGTTCCTGCAAGAGAAACTGCTGTACTATAGTAACTTGAATTCAAGTGTTAAAGATCTGTGTACAATGCCTAGAATGAGTCTGTATGAACAGATACGGTAGGACTTGGTTTTGTGAGCCCAAGTGATCAGATAAACTATTACTCTGTTTTTCTATAATTGTGTCATGTTTAGATTTAAATCTGGACAAGTTACAGTATGGATTTCAGCACTCCTTAAATAGGAGTTAAATAAGTAATAGGAAATACTCCTTTGCCAGAGGTATTGAACAGATTGAAATAATTGCAAATCAAATTGAAGTAAGAGAAGCTGTAAGTATGTAGAGCTTGTGAAAACTGAACCATAGTGTCCCCAAGTTTACACTGAAAGATAAATATACTTGAAATATTTTTCTGAACTACAATTCCTGAAAAGGCCTTTGTGTAATTTTTAAATGTACAGTTTAAAGGACAGTGGGTGATGGTGGGAAAGGAAAAGGAAAGGTGAGGTAGGTAGGATACATCCTTAACTTCATCATTTTGTGTCATATTGCCAAGCTTAGCAAACTGGGGTACATACAGCACTTTATGCAAAACTGTATAGTTTTGCACACTCTTAATGATTTACAACTGCACGTCATTTTAGTGACTTGCTACATAGGCTAGAGTTACATTTTGAATGCCAGCAATTCTTGTATTTCATGATATTTTTAAAATTCATCTTGATTCCTTAAGTACACTTAGGATGCTGTAGATATCTGCTACTAATGATATTATCAGGTGCCTTTCTATGTATTACTGGGCTGTGTAGGTTTTGTCTGTGTGGTTTTGGGGCTTTTTTTTTGTTTGTGGGTTGTTTTGTTTATGTCTGTCTTCCTCCATCTAAAGAGATATAACATGATTCAAGTCAGTTTTTGGTTAAAATTGTGGTAAGTAAAACTTGTAGCAATTCCAGTGATGCACCTCAGGGATCTTATCAGCCCATGAGCTGTGTGTTCAAGTCATGCTGCCATAAAGTCATATATGATAGGTTAGTCAGGCCCTGGTTTAGTTTTGCTCTACATTGCTTTAAGAAAAAATATATTAATATATATATGTACTTTAGAACATGTATGAGTGTATATTTCATACTATATGTGGATTCTAAGATGGTCTGTGTAGTACTTTTTTTTATTGCTAAAGTTATTACTAAAATATTTGCATATAAATAGCTCCTTCTAAAGGTCTAGTTGATTTAGTCAGTCATTTTATAACCTGGAATCCCATGGCATATCTACACAGAGATTAATTTTGAAATGTCTTTCAATGCAGTGATTTGTCAAAATTACTTTTTTAGGTCACCTTTGATACTGTTTTCTGCAGTTCTGAGAATTAGACTGATTCTAATTTTCTGTGTGGCTATATTTCTACTGTGGCTTTAGGGAGAAACAACCCACTTCTTGCAGATAGTACTTTATTATGTATCTTTGGGACAGACCTTGTTACTTGCCTCAAAGAGAACGTAGCATGGATTCCTCATATCCTTGGATCTCTGACTTCAATCCTCAGACCTTCCCCCAGGTATTGACAATCATCTGCTGTTAGTGTTGTTCCTCTCTAGCTGTAGGAAATGTCTGCAAGCCATGTGCAAAGCTGTGCTCAAATGCAACAGCACTTAGAGCATCTCTGAGGAACCTCGGTGCTTTAGTGAGAAGTCCCAGCAGGCCATGTGTGATTAAAAGGATCAAGTTTGTAATACTTAACTCAGAAACACAGTTTGATACCAGAAGACAGGAAGGCTGCTGTCTCCCAAATGAGTACAGTGCAAAACTCCCATTCTCTAAACAGAACTGTACCTAGTTACCCAGCTTTTCTAAGGAGCTGTAGGCAAGGAGTGATCAAAAAAACAACCTCCCTGGGAGTGTGGGCCGTCTGCCCCAGGAGTGTTTGTGCTTCTCATCTGTTTCCCTGAGGCTTGTCTGTATGTTAAGGTACATAAGACATTAAGGAACCTAGAGCTCTTGTATTTGCATCTCACCAGTCTCTGAATAGTAGACTAACCAGGGCCTGAGATGGACACTCTTACTGTATAGTTGAGCATTTGCTGACACATTTTTCTGTAACTAATCATGCTTGTTTTACCAGCAAGCATGGCAAAAAAAGATCCTCTTTCTACAAGTCATAATCCTGCATGAAGGAGTAGGGTAAACCATTTTTTCAGAATTACAGTTCCTGTTACAAGTTTGTGTAGATCCTGCTTTGGGAGTTGTGTTTTTACCCCATCTCTAGGACTAGAGATCATTGAAGTATTTTAGGCTCTACCACACTCTTGTCAGGAAGTTGCTCTATGTGTCTATGTACCTGAGGCTGTAACTTCTGGCACACTTAACTTGCCAGCTCAGTAGTGATAAAGACTAAATAAATACTCCTCTTTCAGGAACTTGCATGGAATTAGGAAAGCTGGCAGTGTTATTAATATTCATTACTGTTTGCATAAAAATGTACTTCTGTTCTTTCAGATCTTACATGATCAAATCTTCAGTGTTTTCCTAGCTGTTGTCTTCATTCTAATAGCCAACTATAAAAATATTTTCTTTTCATATCTCAGACTGATTTTGATCTTTGAATTCATCCTCAAACTTGTTCACTGGATTATCTTAATTTTTTTCTTCTTACTGTTCATTGTTAGCTGATGCTAACAATGCACACAATGGCATGATTAGCTTTCATCCCAGTGATATATAGTTCTCCTTACTGAATTTAGTTTAGTTTGGTTTTGAAATATTACAATCTTTTAACTTTAGTTACAGGAAATTTTCAAACTTTTCTTGCCTTAGCAACTGCAGAAGTCATCTGTCTAGCTCTTGCAGGAAACTTCTTGAAAAAAATGTTAAAAATTGATGTTTAATATTCATTGTGGATTTGGAATGTAAAATGTAGTTCATGTCAAATTATCTAATCTTCTGAAAAAAGTGTTTCCTGAGAACTGACTGACTGCCACCAACAGGACCGCTGGTGTAGTTAAACAAAGACTTGGGGTTTGAAAGTGTTTTAAAGGAGAATATGTATTTCCATTTAAATCATATAAAGGTTTGAAGCCTTTCCAAAATATATCTGAACTGACAGCTTTCTTAGCAAGAGCCTACTGTACTTCTAAAATACCCAGTCTGAGATGAGGATTAAATTGGTGGCCTGAGCTGCAAATAAGCTTTGAATAAGACTTTGATTACAATGTAATTGCCAATATTGCTAATTCCTTTGGTATGTGAAACTAACCAAATAATATCCAACATACATTTTGCAAAATATAATGAATTTTAAAATAGAAGATAACTTAGTAAAAGAGAATGGTGGAGAAAGTTATGGACGCATTCAATGTACTGTTCATGACAAAAATGTGTTTTACTTTTGGTGTTGCTTTTATTAATGGGAAGTTGGTATTTTAAGGTATTTTTTCTACAAAAATGTATGTGCAAAGGCAATACTTTAACATTTTTCAAGAACTTATACTGTTAAATGCTACAAACCACAGAATATACATTTGGACTGAAGGCAGTAGCTTTAAAAAAAATGCAATATAAGCTTTAATTTTTATATTATAGTAATAACTTGCTGTCAACTTGTTTACATATTTGTAGGATGGAAACTTCATTATGCATTGACTTATCTTGATGCTGTCTTTAATAAATACTGCTTTGAGCAAAATGCAGTGGATATTTTATTATCTGAATTACTATTATAAACCCAGTCACTATGTAATCTGTATTCTGTTACTTATTATAATGGTTCAAACACAAAAACAATCTATCTGAAGTTTGGAGAAACTTTTAAAACTTGTTGAATTATGACTAAGCTACTCTTGATTTTCTGCCACCAAGTTTGAAGCTGATTTAGGCTGAAATGAAATGTACCCTGCCAGAGGCAACTTGAACATACTATAGTGTCACCTGGTTTGATTAAGTGCTTGGTTCAGAGTAAATTAAAATTGAGATGTTCAATGTCCCAACTGCTGGACATAAAACTGATTTTGTTCTGTATTCCCTAGTCAGGGTTCTTCTGGTAGTCCAGAGGAGGACATGCATAGGTGAATTTGGCCCTTTCCTTTTTCAAACCTCCCTTCAAGTCATCTGTTAACACCCCTACCAAAACTCAAGTAAAAACCTCAGTAACCACATTTTCTAGGCCTTATTTGCAAGGCTTCCTCAAGGCTTGTTTTCAAGCCTCAATAAAATAGTTTTTTTATATGGTTCATTGAGGAGAAAGATTTAAAAGACAGTAGCAATAAATCGTTTTTAAGCATTATGAAAATCCATCCCAGAAGCACAGACTGACTCTTAAGGGACCTTGCCATGATTCAGTTTCTGATGTCAGAAAAGTTCATGCAGTAAAAGCACCTTGCCAAGAAATTGTGGATGACTGGAAGTAATGCTGACTTTTTTCCTTTATTTCTTCAACTAATGTTTAGCAGGTAGTGGGAAAGTGGACTAAAAGCTGTCTACCTGATGCTGGTAAGATCCAATCGGGGAATAATCTGAAAATTCAAAACTAATGCTGGTACATACATCTTAGGTTAAAATGTTAATTATTCAGCAGCAGCAATGGTGACAGGTCTTTTGTGGGGGTTTTGTTGTAGTTGTTTTGTTTTTTGTTTTTGGGGGCTTTTTAAGTTCTGAGGCATTATGTATTTTCCTCACTAGTATGGGAAAACAAATGGTGGAATAGGAGGGGAAATCTAATATGTATTGTAAAAGCAATAGACTTCCAAAATTATTTTCTTCCTTTATGTAGATGTACTCAGGGGACAGAATGGGAGCCTGTCTTATATCTGCCTGCCTTTGCCAAATTTCAGCAACAGATTGCTCTGTTTGCATTAGGATAGGAATCATGAAAGCAAGCTGGAGCAGAGACTACGAGGAGTTCAAAACAAAAGATTTCACTATTGTCTGCTAATGTACAGTGACTACATGGATAAGGAAAGTTATAAATGACAATATAGTATTGGCTTTTGCATTTATGTATTAGCTTTTGCATATTATTAATCACAAATATTTTGATATGGTACAATTTTCTTTTAACTGCTTTTTGGTATAGTATAACCGGTGAGTTTATGTATGCACCATATAGCTTATATAAACAGTAGTGTGATAAATATAGCTTAAGCCATAGCATAATATTAAAATAGAGACTGTGATATTAAAATGCACCACTCAGAGAATGGTGTAAGATAATTAGGTGGATTCTCACATTGGTGGATTATCCTATCTGAATGATAAGAGAACAGTGACAAAAACCAGAACACCAAGAAGAATTTACTGACTCTTTGTTAGCAGGTAGTATAAAAACAACAGGATGGAACCACAAGAAGAAATAAAATATATTGATTTAATCTACAGGATGGCATGAAGACAAGTCAAAGGTTAAAACCAAGCAAAAGAAATTCCAGGAACATCTAAACTCACAGGAATGTTTGAATAATGTATAAACTCTCCTGAATATGCATGTAACTCGTGTAATGTAACAGTATATAAGAACATTGCCTTAAGCAAATTGTGTGTTTTTGGCATATTGCCGAACACCCCAGCCTGGATATTGTCCCTTTTATCTCTCATTAAACTTATTAAAAAAAAACTTTAAATAGCGAAACTTGTTTTTCACAGGGAAGCTTAGAAATTATTTAGAAAGTTTGTTTTTTCCAGGCTGTAACAGTTCAAAGGTAAGGAGTAATTTGACCCTCACTTAGCTCTTCCTGTGTACCACACTCACTATGTTGCATGGCACACACTGCTTCCTCAGGGAGCTGCACCACTCCAGACAATTATTTCTACTAATTTTAGTTCTCCTGAACTAAGAATATTGAGGGAAAGTCATCCTACCTTACTAAAGGAAAACCACTTGGAATATTCACAGAGTCCTCATAGAGGTAAAAGTGAACTTCATTTATTGCATAAGTCAGTACGTTCTTATAGTGTTCTTTCAGGGTTCACGCAGCTTAAGTAAAACTGCTGTTGGCTAGTGTATTGTGTTGCAGTGTGTTTCTTGTTAATGGTATGTTCTGTTATTACCCAAGTTGATAGTTTGGTCCAAATGAGACCCTCCCACCCTATGCTGTCAATCTACCCTGAGTCTCCTGTCAATCTGTCTTAAGCCCACCGCATGCTTGGAATTCCACTTCAGAAACCCCCTAAACTACAGCGCTTGATTAGTCCATGTGACCCAACTTTCCCCTGCTACCTCCACATAGGATGATGATTTTGTGAACCCTGCCTTTTACCCTCTCCAGGATATCTCTGATTAGCTGATGCTTTGTACCCTCCCTTTGAACCACCTTCCTATTTCAGCTGCTGCATGCTCGCAATTTTCTGTCTTTTGCCCCCAAGATTCCCCAGAGCAATAAATGCTTTATTATCCCATGCAAAAGACCTCCCTCTTGTCCTTGTCTCCTCAGAGTGCAGACTGACAGCCAAAAAGCCATTGAGCAAGTGCTCTAGTCGCAGCTCGGGTCATCCTGCTCCTGGGGTGTGACCCAGTCCTGTTGCAGGCCAAAGTGATAGAGACCTCCAGCCTGATGTGATAGCTGGCGCCCAATGTGGGGCCCTGTGAACAGATCCCACGGATGAACTGTGGATTTTATCCAAGAAGTTCTGGCCATCAGCTGCCTCTGAGCGCAGCAGACTGGTTTTTCTCCAGTGGCTCTTGTGGGGTGGAAGTGATAACCGTCTAGCATCCAGAGGACCACTACCCTGAGGAGGACTTCCCTGCAGCCCCTGTCCAGTGGACCAAAGGAGGATGAGTATACCCCAAGTTAGGCTGAGGGTGCTCACAAATTGTGGGAAGGGTGCTGTGCTCCCCGGGAGTGGTGGAGGGGGCGGCGACGAACCTACAGGCCATGATAGTTGCCTGCGGAAAGCACCCTGTCCCTGAGACTGGCCCTGGATCTTTTATCTTGAGTTTGTTGTTTCTTTTGCTGCAGAGGAGGGTGTATTTTTGCTGTGCCGGCAGCTTAACATCAAGGAAAATGGGTGTGAAATTGTCAGCACAGTAGAGAGGAATCTATTTTCAAATTTTGAGTACCCTGGAGGGTGGAAAAGGAAAGTTTTCAAAAGGGTTGTTAAAAAAGTTTGTTCAATGGCTTTTCCTCCACTTTCCAAGGGTATCCCCAGAGGAAATACCAAGCATCCCCTTCTGGGATATAGCTGGAAGCAAATTAACAGCCTTGACAAATAAAGGAGATACATCGGTTGCTAAATTCTTTTCATTGTTTGTGCTAATTCGATCAGTGATAGTTGAAGAAAAGAAAGTAGAGGAAAGGCTCAAACTAACCCCCTCAGCTCCCTCGTCCCCTGATCCAAAATCCTTGCCCCTTGCATCGGGAAGTCTGTGCCAGGCAAACTGCGATGAAGCGCAGGAGAGCTACCAACTCCCTGGCCTCCCACCGACTTCTCAGTACCCTTGCCTTGAGAGCAATGGCCATGCTGTCAAGGACCCTTTCCTAAACCGCTCTTCCCCAGTTCAAGTTCAATCCTCCAGTTCAAGTGAATGCCCACAAAGGAAATTCCCAAGTTTTCCCTGAGTCCTCTCCTGCCCCTCAGAATGACTCTCAAGAGACACAAGATGGTGGAAGCCACATGGCTCGGCCCCCACCTTGTGCTTCTTCTTCCCAGAATGCCTTTCACTCTGTTCTTTCCAACCCCTTCCTATCCCCTGACCCCACCCCTACCCATGCCCCTCCTTTTCCTCCCCTCTCCCCAAACTCAGCCCCTTCCCCAGACAACCTCTTTTCCTTTCCACTGGCTCCGCCTCTCATTCCCATGACATCATCTGTTCCCATGATGTGACCTGGGAACAGCAGCTCCCATTCCAATTGCTCTCCCACCCCTGCTCCCTCCTCCTTCTCTGGCAGCTCTCATCCTCTTCCAGCTTCAAATTCCCATGATGGCATGGGAACTGGAAGCCATGAGCCCAAAATGCAAAACCTGGAACATCCCATTCGCTACACCTGTTTACCTATACCCGAACAAGAGGAACCCCTAAGTGGCAATCTTTTGATTATCAGCATAAAGAGGAGCTTTGCAAGGCTCAGAAGGAGTTTGGGAGAAAAAGTGAATATTTTAAAGGTCTTTTAAAGGCCACGTTTTCCTCAAACACACTAGTTCCTGACGATATCAGGGATTTGTTTGCATGTCTCCTAATCCAAACAGAATATCTGTTGTGGGAGAGGACACGGAGATTATTACGAGAACTCCTTCCTGAGCTCTTGCAAAGCCTTGACTGTGCCATTGATGCAGACAACAACAATATCTCAATGGACCGCTTGTGTGGTGAAGGGGGCAAGCTAGAACTCAGGCTAAAAAAATACTGCAGCCTGTGTTGGAACAGGTAAAGAGAGCTGCAGAGAAGGTCTTTATCCTTATGCCCACCAAAGAACGTAAGCAAAGTTATGTGAATATTAAACAGTTTCCCTTTGAGGCTTTTATAGATTTTGTTGAAAAGCTCCGAGTCAAAGTAGAGAGGCAGGTTGAGAGTTGGCAACTACAGGAACAGATAATAATGGAAGTGGCCCAAGCAAATGCTAATGACATCTGTAAGAAGATCATCCTGGCTCTACCCTTTGAGCCACCATCGACCCTCGATTTGATCATCAAAACCTGCACAAAGAGAGCCATCATCCCAGAGCCTCAAGAAAATGAGACAGAATGGAGAAAA